GCACCGATATCCATGAAATACTGAATGGCCCAGATGAAGGCATAGAGTACTGTGGGTGGCTACCACACTGAGGATTTGGGGAAGGGCCAGAGGATCCCAGATGTAGAGCTGGGAGAAACCTCCAAGGCCCTCTAGTCTGACTCCCTCATTCTGCAGAACGGGAAACTGAGGTCCAGGAGGGGAAGGGACTTGTTCAAGGTCACACCTAAGACCCTAGATCCAGAGCTAGAAGAGATCTCAGAAGTCAAAATCTAGTCCAGCCCCCTCATTTTACAGCAGAGGAAACTGAGGTCCGGGAAGGGGAAGAAACTTGCCCAAGGACACCCATAGGATCTTAGATCATGAACTAGAAGGAACCTTGGGGACCATCTAGTCCAGTCTCCTCATTTTACAGCAGAGGAAACTGAGGCCTAAGGAAGTGAAGGAACTTTTAAAGTCACCTGTAGGATCCTAGATCATGAACTAGAAGGGATCTTGGGAGCCATCTAGTCTAACCCTTTCATTTTACAGAGGAGGAAACTGAGGTCCAGGGAAGGGGAGGGACTTGCCCAAGGTCATCCAAGTATTAAGTGGCAGAACCAGGATGTGAACCCAGGTCCTTTGACTCTAGAGCCATGCTCTTTCCACTATACTGCTCCTGCCCGTATATAATATTGTCAATACTGTCCCATGATGAAAAGGCACAGAGAGTCAGTAATCTGCTCCCACCCCAATCGGGAGGTATAAGACCCATTGCATTCTGCCCTGGTCAGACCACATAGGGAGTTTTGTGTTCAGTTCTGGGCACTACAGTTTAAGAAGGACACTGATAAACTGGAGAGTGTCCTAAGGAGGGCTCCTGAAATGGTGGCCTGTGACGATTGGTTGCAGGAACTGGGGCCGCTTAACCTAGAAAAGAGAAGACTGAAAGAGGACAGGAGAGCTGTCTTCAAGTATCTGAAGAGCTATCAAGACATAATGCCTAGAGGCCAGAACCAGGAACAATGGTCAGAAGTTACAGGGAGATCCATGCAGGCTAGATGTCTCTTCTGGAGAACTGTCCATGAGTGGGATGGACCACCTGCAGAGGCTGGGCCACAACATAGTAGAGGTTCCTTTAATGAATGGGTTGGACACTGAGGTCCCTCCCAACTCTCAAATTCTGTGATTCTTTGAATAGAAATCAAGACATAAGTTCAACATGCTTAGTCAAAAACCTGTAATTATCCTCCTGTGTTCACACAATGCATCTCCTGTAGTCCCCTGCCTCTGTGCCAAGGGGAGACACATGTATTTCATCACTAAGTTTGAAATGTGGGCATGGCTCTCTATGATCACTACTTCTTCTTTTAGAAGTTTACTAACCATCTCTTTAATAATATGTCATAGACTTTTGCCAGGAATTGAAATCAAGTTCATCGGCCTCCAGTTTGCAGACTCTCATCCAGGGCAACTAGGTGGCGCCATAGTGCACAGAGCACTGAGCCAGGAGTCAAGAAGACTCATCTTCCTGAGTTCAAATCTGGCCTCAGACACTTATTTGCTGTATGACCATGGGCAAGTCACCTCACCCTGTTTTATTCAATTTCCTCATCTATAAAATGGGCTAGGGAAGGAAATGGCAAACCACTTCAATATCTCTGCCAAGAAAACCCCAAATGGGATCCCAAAGGGTTGGACGCAACTGAAAAAACAACGCAACAACAACATTGGTCTTTTTTTGTTGTTCTGCCCTTTTTAGTACAAAGATCATTTTCTTTGGTATACAAAAGGGAAGCAAATAAGAGGGGAGCAGCTCTGACTTCTTCTCATTCAGGATACAAATCACACATGAAACTACTCTGGGCCCAATTTCAGACCAAAGAAATGATGGCAACAATCAGGAGACTTGTATCTGTTTATTCTAGAGGCCTCTAGGTGGCACAGTGGACAGAGGACTGGGCCTAGAGTCAGGAAGACTAGAGTGTCTGAGGCTGACTCAGACCTTTACTAGCTGTGTGACCCTGGGCAAGTCACTTAACCCTGTTTGCCTCAGTTTCCTCATCTGTAAAATGGACTGGAGAAGGAAAAGGCAAACCACTCCAGTATCTTTGCCAAGAAAACCCCACATGGGGTCACGAAGAGTCAGACATGACTGAAAAAGACTGAATAATGACTTAAAACAACAGCAAAAATACTCATCACCTCACACTTGGACTACTTCAATAGCATGTTGATTGGTCTCCCTGCCTCAAGTCTCTCCCCACTACAGTCCATCTCAGCTGACAATTTAATCTTTGTAAAGTAGAGGTCTCACCTCCCCCATTTAGTAAACTCTAGTGATTCCTTATAACCTCCAGGTTCACATATAAAATCCTCTGTTTGATTTACAAAGTTCTTCATAACCTGTTCCTACTCCCCCCCCCCCCCCCCCCCCCCCCCCCCCCCCCCCTCCTTTTTTTTTTTTTTTTTTTTTTTGGCGAGGCAATTGGAGTTAAGTGACTTGACCAGGGTCACACAGCTAGTAAGCCTAGCAGCCCCCCTTCCCAGTCTTCTTAATTTTACTTACCTCTATGTCTTCTTATCCCTATGACCATTAACACTGGCCTCCTTGTTGTGTCTTGCACATGACACTCAATTTCTGGATTCTGTCCATTCTCTCTGGTTGTCCTTTGTGCCTAAAACCTTCTCCCTCCTCATCTCTGCCTCCTGGCTTCCCTAGATTCCCTAGCTTCCTTCAAGCCCCAGCAAAAATCTCACCTTCTATAAGAATCCCGCATTCTTCTGAGATCATAATAATATTAATAATAATAGCTAACATTTATATAGTGCCTACTATGTGTCATGCACAGTGCTAAGCACTTCATAATTATTATCTCTTTTGATCCTCACAATAACCCTGCAAGGTAGGTGCTATTATTATCCCCATTTCACAGTTGAGAAAACTAAGGCAGACAGAAGTAAATGACTTGCCCATGGTCACACAGTTTCTGGGGCAGGATTTGAACTCTTCCCGAGTCTGGGTCCTCCCCCACACCCCCCCATCCACTGTGGTGCCACCTAGCTGCTACCTTGGCATTACTTCTGATTAATTCTATCTGTAGCTTGTTTGTACTTAGCTTTTTGCACATTCTCTCCCCATTAGACTTTGAGCTTTTTGACAGCAGGAGCTGCCTTTTTCTTTTCTTTGTATTCCCCAGTACTTAGCAAAGGGCTTGGCACGTAGTAGGTACTTCATAAACACTTGTTGACCTAGCTTGACTAAGCCATAGTTAATAATTGAATGTGGAGAAAGCTCAGATGATGTTTTTCTATGTATTAAGCTCCTGTCAGTGTATTTTATTGATTGGTTCCCTCAGTCAGCAAACATTTATTGAGCTTGTATCAAGTATAGGGCACTGAAGGGGATATAGAGATAAATGACACGAGCCCTTTCCCTGTGGGTTTACAATCCATTAGTGGTGCTAAAATATGAACCCAGATAACTATACTACACAATAATATAGTCATTGAACAGGAGCGGAGGAACAAAGTGCTATGAGACTGGGGCGCACTGAGCACATCTGGGCTATGAGATGGCAGGCTGGGGGCACACTGAGCACATCTGATGAACGGGAAAGGGCACTGGCTTTTAAGTCAAAGAACCCCGGTTCAAATCTCACCAAGGACACTTAACTTACTATTTGTGTAAGCTGAGGTAAGTCACTTTCCTCCTGACCTCAGTTTCCTCATTTGTAAACTAAGGAGACTGGACTAGATGCTCTCTGAGGTCTTTCTAGCTCTAAATCTTTGATTCCTATGTGAGTAACTGCAATGAACAATCTTGGTTCAAGGGAGCAGAAGATGAAAGACATTTCTCTCCTCCAGAGAGGGTGTGGGACATTGCACAAGTTTGTGGTTGCTTTGTGAGCTTTGTTTAACTGCTTTTCTTTGTTGCAAGGGAGGGTTCGATGCAGGGTGGGGAGGATAAATATGTGGGAAAATGATTATGACATTAAGAAAAACCCTACCAACCCATCAATTAAAAAAAAAATAAAGACATGGGAACCGGCCAGGCCTATCAGACAGTAAGGGGTGTGAGGGTGGAGGTGGGAAGAAGCCCTCATTAAGTGCCTACTATGTGCCAGGCACTGTGCTAAGTGCTTTACAAATATTGTCTCATTTGATCTAAGCGTGAAGGCTCCTTAGAGCTCATCGGTCTAGCCCCATCCTTTTACACATGATGAGTAACTGAGGCTCAGAGAGTTGAAGTGATTGACCCCAGGTCACACCTAGGACCCTAGATCTAGAGCCGGAGGGGACCTAGAGGTCATTTGGTCCAACCCCTTCATTTCACCAAAACTGAGGGCCCATGGAGGGGAAGTGACTTGCCCAAGGTCTAACAGCTAGCAAGTAGCAGAGTTCGAATTTGAACCCAGGTATTCTGCCTCTAAAGTCCACTGTTCTTTCCACTACACTCTAAAGAGGCATTGATGGGGCTGGTGCGAGGAGGCCGTTTGAAGGTAAGCGACTACTCTAATTTGACTCTGGAGCAAGAGAGGAAACGGGGAGATAAGACATGTCAATTATTACCACGAGGGCTGGGTTTGTTGTAACTGACTACGCTAAGGTAACCCTCTTCTTCTTGCCTCCCACAGTTAATCATTCACGACACTCATTTATTAAGCGGCTACCAGGAACCAGGCACTGGACTAGGCGAGGTTCACAAAGGTGAGGTGGTGGTAAATTAATCATACCTTCGATCATTCCCCCTCCCTGCTCCGGGCGTCTCTCTTCCTCGCCCCCCGCCCCTCCCCCGTCATTTACACTGGCGCAGCAGGCCTGCAGCCCAACTTGCCAGTCCGTTCTCTAGACGCTGGAGGGCGCTCTTAACGCCCGCCCCACCCCTCCCCTTGGTTATCTCGCCCCTCCCCTCAATAGCCCAGACCACCCACAGCCTAAGCCATGCCTCTTAGCCTCAGCCCCGCCTTGTCCCCGCCTATCACCACTGCCCTGCCTGCTGATTGGCCGAGGGCGGAGCTCCGCCTCACTTCATCATAAGACCTGGGGTCGAGGCGTCCGTGTCTAATTGCCCTGCTGCCGCGTCCTTAGCCTCCCGGGTCTCGACCATCTGACTCTACCGGGAGTTTGTTTGCCACCGTCGCCTCCCCTGGGCTAGGACTATGTCGCGTAGCTGCCGTCTTCATCTCTCCCTCGTCACCCAGGGCTCGGCCTTTGCTTTGCTCTGTCTCTTACTGGGTGAGTGGGGGCTGACGGGGGGTGGGGAGACCAAGAAGGGGAGACCGGGCCCAGCTCTTACCCTGGCTCCGGGTCCGAGGCCGAAGCCGGGGCGGCCCCTTGCACGGAAGCGATGACAGCGCGCGGGGAGGGGGGCCGAGGCCGGGGCCAGGGCCGGGACCGGAGGGAGCCCGAGGTGGGGAGCGGCCTGGCCCCTTGGAACTGGGGAGAAGAGGAGCTTGTGAGATGAGAGAGGGGCAGCGAATGAAGAATGAACAAGATGAGAATGGGGGGGGGGTTCGTGGGGGTCGAGTGACCAAGGTGAGAGTTGGAGGGGAGGGGCTGTCGTGAAAGAGTAACCTCGGTGGTGGGGGTGGGTAAGGAGTTACCTACATGGGATGAGGGGCTGTTGGGGGGCCCAAAGAGTGACCAGGATGAGGGGGGGCAGCGATCAAAGGAGTGACCTAGATGGGAATGTAAGGGAGGATGCCAGGGGGAGACGAATGACCAAAGTGGGAGTTGAGGGGGAGGTGTGCAGTTGAGTGGTAATCTAGGAGAGAGATGGGAATGGGGGCTTTGGACTAACCTAAATGAGAGGGTGGATGGGAGGAGCAGAGGGGTGACAAAAATGGGAATGGGAGGAGGTGTCAAGGACTGAAGAATGGCCTAGGTGGAATGGGGGGAGGGGGATAGGGGGCCAAGGAGTGATCAAAGTAAGAGTGAGATAGTCAACTCAAGGGGGATCTGGGTCTGGTGGGAAAATGGTATGGAGGCCGCGACACTAGGACCAGTTTGAACCCATACCCTGAAGCTGAGGAGGCCTTAGTGTGAAGGGAATTCTTTCATCTGGGAGACACCTTCCCCCCAGTCACTTCTCTTTCCCTGAGTGGCTAGGAAGGGAGCCACCCTACCCTGGACTCAGTTGAGGTGGCTTCCCCTAGCTTGAGTTGAGTTTAGGGATCTTGTCTGCTACCTGGCTCCTCAGTCTATCTGTCTCTTTTCCGGCTTCTCCCCTTCCCCCTCATTCTATTATTACCTTCCAGGGATGTTTTATGAGGAAAACATTCCAGAGTTCCATAACTAACTTAGCTCAGACACTCAGCCTCATATAGAGGAGGGTGTAGGCTGGTTTTTAAATGAGGGTTGGAGGAAAAAAAAAAAAACCAAACTTGCCAGTGGATTGTAAATAACCCCCATATATTTTACTGGTAGAAGAATTAATCTTGTCATCCAATCTGCTAACCTCTCTCCCCATTTGCCCCCAGAAAGGTCACAATTTCTTCTTTCCCTCCACTTTCTAAACTCTCCTGTAAGCCTTAGGATGGAGCTCACAAGTTCTGTGACATTTCAACTGTTTTAGACAGATGATGAACAGTTCTAAGGGCTTTGGATTGAAAACTTCCATGAAAGTGGTAAAAACAGATCTCTGTAAAGCCAACTTGTTGAGGCATCTAATTGAATACTGGGGTGGTCATAGATGTTTCCTTAGGACATGCTGTTAGAGGGATTAATGAATGTGTAGGCACTGATATGTTAAATCCTCATATCAATTCTTAGGTATGACAACAGGTAAGGATTGTCATGATGAACTAGAAAGACCTTGGGCGTGTGAGGACTTTACGGTCCTCATAAACAGAATTGCTTTTCCAAGAATTTGCTTGAATTCCATTTAGAATATAGGCATTTGAAATGACTTGTTTAGTATTTAGTTAAGTAAGCATTTAATCCTCACATCTTATATGTTTGTGAGGTTTAAAAATTGTTTTTAAGTTTTTTTGTTGTTGATGAATCATTTTAACTTCAGCAAGAAGCATTCAAATATGTAACAGTAAAACAAAATAACTGTAAATCATCCTGGCATAACTAAACTTTTGCCAGGATTGTGCTTTCAGACGTAAGCATTCTTTTATTTGTGCTAGGTTTGGTTTTTTTTTTTTCCCCATGAATTCCTTATAATATAGCTTTCTTGGTCCCCTGCTTCCTGTGGATCAACTTAGCAATATCACAATAGATTATACTTCTAGACCTTGGTTCCTGGAGCCTCTGAAATGGACAAAGCCTTCTTGTCATAATCTTACATTGAAGTGGTTACAGATTGTTCTGATATGAAATGATTTGCTTGGAGTCAAGGCTGTCTTGAGGGAGACAGCCCTGGAGGTTGGCCAAATGGACAACTCTTCCCATGGTAGTGTGTTTCTTTCTTCTGCTCCTTCTCAGAATGAACAAACATTTGATTGGAAAAAAAAAGTTTAAACTCTACAGTTTTCAATCATATTGCTATTTAAGCTTCAATCATTTTAAACACCTAACAAATGTGTCAGTCTCTGGGATGTGGATCCATTCATGACAGTGAGTGAAGGGTACTAGTTAATTCTCTCAAGGGGAAACTTTCTTTTGATTGAAAAAAGATTAATTAGATGGAGAACGACATATCAGTAGAGTCAAAGAACCTTTATGATTTCTCATCATAAATCAAAGTTAATGTCGGCTTGGGGTGAGAATCCTAGACTTGGTGTGAAGAGAGTAATTGTTAGCAACAAAGTTGTCTTCGAGGAGTTAGTGCCACATAGTAAATCAGAATAACCCAGCAGAGATTTGCTACAGAGGATCTTCTCCCTCCATTCCTAGTTTTTCTGTAAGCTCTAGAACAGGGGTGGGAAACTTGTGGCCGCACTTGAGGATCTAGAGGGCCACGTGTGGCTTTGAGGCCACAGGTTCCCCACCCCTGCTCTAGAAACTCTGAAGGACTTATATTTTTGAAAGATATCTTTTGAGAAATTCATATTGTAATTTGATTTTCAAATGTTTTTAAAAAACTCCCCTCTGTATCCCCTTTGCTGTTTCTTCACCTTTGTCTACTCCTCTTTTTTTTTCCCCTTACTAGGAAATGATGCCAATAAGGGTAATGTTGGAATGAATCATTGTATGGGTTACAGTTTGTTTGCTGTCCCAGACAGTCTGGAGGTGGGAAGTTGGACTTAGGGATGGTAATCTTAATGGGAATGGAAGTGGGGAGCAGGGAGTTAGAGATGTTAGGGCTTGTGCAGATTTACTTTGCAAAAACATTTCCAAATACTGGGGTTTGAAGGGGAAATGAATTTGAGAACCCCTGATTTGAAAGCATGCTTCCTTTGGATTCCTTAGAGCTGTCATTCCAAGCTTTGGCTTTGTTGCCATCCCAGGGTATGTCCATAATTTTTTTTTTTTTTTTTGGTGAGGCAATCTGGATTAAGTGACTCGCCCCAGGTCACACCGCTAGTAAATGTCAAGTATCTGAGGTCAAATTTGAACTCAGGTCCTCCTGACTCCAGGGCTGGTGCTCTATCCACTCCGCCACCTAGCTGCCCCTATGTCCATAATTTTGAACTGCATAGTATAGTGAAATGATAATGACTAAGGTTGGCCCCAAAGAAGAGCTGTGAGGAGGCACCTCCCATGGCTTCTTTGCAGAGGTGGGGGACAATGGGTATGGAATACTGCATATATAGTCTCATAAGACTTTTTTTTTTCCCCCTCTTATTTTTGGTTATAAGGGATGGCTCTCTGGGAGGGATATATTGGTAAATGGAGGTGAAATAAAGACAGAACATAGTGATTGAAAATGTGTGCGTGTATGTATTATCTTTTCAGAGAATAGGGCGTCCTGAGAGTAAACAATGATACCTTGAGAATCATCCCATTAGAGACTTGACTGAAATATAGAACTAACTGTCCACTTAATTTACTGGTTTCAGATCAAGATAGGGATCAACATTATTGCTGCTGTGATAAAAATCAACGAAGTGGTAGTCAAGGGCATATTTCTTGCTTAATCCTATGCTAATGCTCTACCCACAGGCTGTAATGGAGATAGGCTTCTTCTGTACTTGTTGTCTTGTTGGGGAAACTAGATTGAGACTAATGTCCTGTTGATCTAGTTGAGAAGGCCTGGGTGTCAGGAAGACCTGGGTTCATATCCCACCTTGGATGTTTACGGAGGTGACTCTAAACAAGTCACTTAGATTTCCAAAACAAAGGACTCAGTGAATTCCAAGGTTCCAAATCAGTGGCCCTGTAACATAACGCTATCTGATTGTGACAGCATATTGTGGACTATAATGAGTCTAAGTACAGCTTACTCAGTAAAAGCTTCTGGGATAAGCTGAGACTTGAGCTGAGCCTTGAAGGATGGAGAGAATGTCCATAGGACAACCATTTCCCTTAATGAGAAATAGCCATAGGAGGGATGATGGAGAGGCAGAAAGGAGCATCATATGGTCAGGGGGCGGTGATTAGAAAAAAGGTTGGTACTTGAGACGATATGAAAGGGGGGACAAATTAAGGAGGGCCTTCAAGGCCCAGCAGAGGGACATATAGCCATTGAAAGTTTTTAAGAAAGGAAATAATTTGAGAAAAAGTAGTTTAAGGAAGAAAAATCTGCGAGGATGACTTGGAGTAGGGAGATGCTGAGAGAGAAGTTAGCTAAGGAGGCTTTGTAATAATTTAGGAGGCAGAGGGTAGGGACTGGATGTGTGATTTTACTGGTATAAGGAATGTCCAAGTGAGGAAATTCCCACTCTCAGTACAGGTCAGCAGCTTTTCTTCAATGTATGTAGTCTGAGAGTTGCCTAGATTAGAGAGCACTAACAGATTAAGTGATTTGTCCAGGGTCACACAGCTAGACTGAGTCAGAGCGAGGGCTTGAATCTGCATTCTCCTGCCTTCAAGGCTGTTTCTCTCTACCAGGCTGCCCGGACAATTTTGGTTGACTCTGAAATAATATGGGTCAGATGGACTCTGAATTTCCATCTTGCTCAAAAATGCAAGCATCACCTGGCATTTATATTTATAAATGTGCCTTTTGCAGTTATGAGAGTTAAAATGAGATTTCATTTTGTACATTTTTTTTTAACTCCAGGAACCCTTGAGATCGATGCATTGAATCTCACCCTGAACAACTCTCACAATGCCACTTGCCTGCATGCCCAATGGCAGATGAATTTCACAATAGACTATGAAACTGTAAACCATGGCCTTGTAAGTAGACATTCGGCAAACGACCGGGAATCGTTGTGCTTTTGTTAGCCCTACCTCCCCTAAAAAGTCTCAGAAGTTGATTGACTTACCTCTTAGTCTGTCCATGGTTTTTCCTGTGTACTTGAAGGCATTTAATTTTTGTGGTTTTATGTATTTTACTTCTCTGAGGTCATGAATTGTTTGGGTTTCTCAGGATCGATTAAGGGAAAATGATGAAAAGTAAGCTACTCATTTCTAATTACTTAGTACTTTGATGAACGCTTTTCATGTAAACCCTTATCTCATCTTCACCCTCCATTCTTGGTTTCTCTTATTTCCTTTCTGGTTGGTTAAGGGTTATTTTTCTCCCTCTCCTTCTCCCTTCCCCCATCCCATTCTCCCCATATTCTTTTTTTTTTTTTGGATTAGATTTATGTTTTCATTGTAATTTGCCAGTGCAGATTAACACCTGCTCTCCAATTTCCAGCATTAGAGATGGGGGGAGGGGCAGGGCCGTGCTCACCAGGCCAGGTCTCTATCTACTGTGTCCTGCCCGTCTTTCTGAATCTCTCGTGCAGCCTGGGGGAGGGGTGGGGGAAGGGGAGGAAAAAGACAGAGCTGTCTGCTGAACAACATTTGCTGATCTTAACCCATAATCAGTTTTGTCATTTCCCCAGAGGAATAAAAAAATGTGGAAGCACCTGAGCCCTACCTCCCCCCCCTTTTTTTTTTAACATAGCAGGCTAGGGAAAGGTAAACAGAGGGCATGAGAGTCTTAACACTGAACTCCAAACCTTGGAGAAATGCTTTTATGTACATTTATATTTTTCTCTCCCTTCCCTATCTCTTTCCACTTTTTATTTTAGAAAAATGTAACAATTCAGGTCCCCAGCAACGCATCGTATAGTGGAAGTGATTGCGGTACTAATGACAATGTCTCCCAAATTAAAGTCCAGTTTGGATCGGGTTTCTTTTGGAATGTGAACTTTACCAGAGAGAATTCTGCTTATTTCATTGACATCATCTCCTTTTCCTATGACACCAGCGATAATGACACTTTTCCTGATGCCAAAGAGAAAGGTAACAGGCATTTAGGGTTTTATTGTTTTGAGAAGAATCAGGTAGGTTGGGTGGAGTGGTCTGTGACCTCTTGGGCCATTCCAATAGCATTTTTTACCAAAACTTTAGGCATTGAATGATGACTGAGCTGATGCTCAGCCCCCACCCCTCACCCCGCCCTTTTGCTGTTGACCACCCTGTCCGGCCAAAATTGACCAAGAAAGACTTGTAGAATGGATGTAGCATTTGTGGCTTGTTAAAGTTGCTGTCCCATTTGGAATGACTTAATCCCAGCAACTAAAAGAAGTTCCTGGTATTTTAAAGCTGTGACTGTTTGAAACATCAGCTGTGGCCCACATTTCAGCCAGATCTGTATGCAGGATGTAATGATAGCATTAATAAAAATAGTTTGTACGTGAACCAAAACCCTGTCTAAACTAAAAGGGAATGAGGCACTGTGGCTGTTGTTTAGTTGTTTTTCAGTTGTGTCCAGCTCTTTGTCACCTTCATTTGGGATTTTCTTGGCAAAGATACTGGAGTGGTTTGCTCTTTCTTTCTCCAGCTCATTTGACAGATGAGAAACTGAGGCAAACAGGGTGAAGTGACTTACCCAGGGTCACACAGCTAGTAAGTGTCTGAGGCCGGATTTGAACTCAGGAAGATGACTCTTCCTGGCTCCAGGTCTAGCGATCTATCCACTGCGCCACCTAGCTACCCCTGAGGCACTGTGGTACATGGGGGGTAAAAAAAAGCCCTCACTGCTATTAGAGTCAGTAGAGCTAGGTATAAATCCTAGCTCTTATCCTTATGACTTGTATGACCTTGAACAAGTCCCTTTATCTCCCTGGGCCTCAGTTTCTGCCTCTGTAAAATGATGGCCTATGAGGTCCCTTCTGGCTCTAGCGCTCAGTTCTCATGATTTACTCTCGCATGTTTTGGGGGCAATATTTTTGTTTTTCTCAGACATAGCAAACGTTTCATTTTGTTCGCCATAACGGCCATCTGGAAGCAGCCTTTTAGACTTGCTAATGAATAATTCATAGTTGCCTCTAGTCTACAGAGCTGTACTTCCCGACATCTAGAAGTGAATGATCTGAGTGTAAAGGTCTGAAGGGAATGTCAGACTAGACACTGAAAGGCCCTTTGCTCAGCTTCCCTCTTATCTCCTCAGTCTGACTGTTCATTATTAAGCCAGAGTTTCTAGACCCCTAAAGTGGCAGGTACTTTTTTGAGCACCTCCTATGTGCCTAGCAAGTGCTCTGGGTGGCAGGGGGAAAACTCCTGAGACACTTGTCTTTGTTCTCAAGTGGCTTAGCTAGGGATAGCTAGATAAAACCGATGTGTACTTTATGGAGAAAACCAATGCTGCTCCCTAGAAGGATGATAAGATGGCAGAAAATGGAAGGGTGAGTGTGGGTTGGTGCTTCACAGAGAAGGTGGAACTTGGCTAGGGAGAAGGAAGCCCACACGGGGAGAGCAACCTGAGGAAGGCAGCCATGAACATGGTGTGTGCAAGAAGTTTACTTGACTCTAGTCGAAGAGTTATGCATTGGATAGGTAGATGGGGCTCTAAAGTGGATAGAGTGCTGGGCCTGGAGTCAGGAAGACCCGAGTTCAAATCTAGTCTCTTGACACTTACTAGCTGTATAGTCCTGAACAACTGACTTAACTCCTGTTTGCCTCAGTTTCCTCATCTGTAAAATGGGGCTAATCATAACAGCACCTACCTCTCAGGTTTGTTGTGAGGATCAAAGACGATAATATTTGTAAAGTGCTTAGCACGGAGCCCAGCACAAAGTAAGCACCATATAAATATTAGCTATTATTATTATCGTCGTTGTTGTTGTTGCTTGAGGGCCTCAAAAGCTAGACAGAGTAGTTTAGCCTTGTTATAAGTAAGTCATAGGGAGCCATAGTGGGTTCCTAAGCACAGGCTTGACATGGCAAGAGCAGAATAGAATATGTAGGATGAATTCATCTAGAAGCAGGGATACCAGCCAAGGACCAAAGGACCAAGGGCTTGGAAATAGAATAGTAGGAATGGAGAAGAGAGGGTAAATCAGTTAATAAGCATTTATTGAATTACACGTATTAAGTACTTAGTACTTGTGTTTTCACAAAAAACTTGTGTTGTCATTCATTCCTTGGGTTACAGAGACAAGAGAATGAAACAGCCCCTGCCCTCAAGGAGCTTACATTATAACTAGGGAGATAACGAGTACTTAATAAATAAGTATTTAGAGAATACATATAAAGAGAATAAATATAAAATAAATACCAGATAGCTAAGTACAAAGTAGAGGTCATACGAGGCTAGAGAACGCTAGCAGTTGGGGAATCAGTTGGTTGAATGTTGTCCTTCCTTCTCGAAGAGGACCAAAATGACATCGCTATGTTAGAGTCAAGTTACAGTGTATCTGACTGTGGCTGGTCAGACCAATACGAGATCGGAATGCTCCAGCACAGGTTGGGCACAAATAGTCAGTGTGAGTATTTGGAGTGAATTCTCTAATTTTGTGCATCTCGCATTTCTTTTGAGCTACTTTCAGTTCTGCTTTGCTCATAGAGCACAGCACCTTCTCTGATGTGGACATGCCATGCTGGGCGGTCCTGTGCCAGTATCTCCCATGTCACATAATCAATTCCAAAATTCTTAAGAGAGACCTTGAGAGTGTCCTTGCATCTCTTCTTCTGACTACCATGTGACCGCTTGCCATGGGTGAGTGAGTTCTCCATAAAATAGTCTTTAAGGCAAGCATACATTTGGCATTTGAACAACGTGGCTGGCCCATTGCAGTTGTGTTCTCTGCAAATAGAGTTTGAATGCTTGGCAGTTTAGTTTGAGAAAGGACCTCAATATCTGGAACCTTATCAGAATCTTCCTAAGACAATTCATATGGAAGCGATTCAGTTTCCTGGCATGGCACTGGTATGCTGTCCAGGTTTCACAGGCATACAGCAATGAGGTCAGCACAACAGTTCTGTAGACCTTCAGTTTGGTAGTCAGCCTAATGCCTCTTCTCTCCCACACTTTCCTTCGGAGCCTCCCAAACACTGAGCTGGCTCTGGCAATGCGAGTGTCAACCTCATTGTCACTGTGTACATCCCTAGAAAGTATACTGCCAAGGTAAGTGAACTTGTCCACAATATTCCAAACTTCTCCATTTACCGTAACCGATGGTTCTATGAATGGATGGTGTAGTGCTGGCTGTTGAAGCACCTGTGTTTTCATGGTCTTAATTGTTAGGCCAAAATTAGCACAAGCAGCAGAGAATCAATCCACACTTTCTTGCATCTCAGCTTCAGAGGCTGCATTGAGTGCACAATCATCTGTGAACAAAAAATCATGCACCAACTCTCCCTCCACTTTAGTCTTGGCTTGTAGCCTTTTCACCTTAAACGATTTACCATCAGTGTGGTAGCTGACCTTGATGCCATGTTTGTCCTGATTGAAGGCATCTGACTACATAGCTGGAAACATCATGCTAAAAAGCATGGGAGCAAGCACACAGCCTTGCTTCATTCCACGGATTATTATTCAGAACCCAGGCTAGCATGCCATCGTAAATTTGATGTGCAATACTGATCAGCTTCTCCAGGCAACCAAATTTTGACATAATTTTCCATAAGACCTCACAACTGATGGCATCAAAGGCCTTGCTTAGCTCAATGAATAGACCTCTGTTCTGCTCCTAGCATTTCTCCTGGAGTTGTCAGGCAGCAAACAGCATATCGACTGTTCCTGGCCCTTTCTGAAGTGGCTCTCAGGTAGATGACCATCCTCCAGGTCAAGGATCAGCCTATTAATGAGGACTCTGGCAGGAATCTTGCCAGCAGTGACTAAGAGCGAGACCTACCCTGTGATTGTCACAGGACAGTCTATTTACTTTTATAGAGATGGACGATGGAGGTGTCCTTGAACTCCTTGGGGGATAATCTCCTCTTGCCATATAACCTGGAAAATTTCACCAGCTTTTGTATGAGCAATAGACCCCCTACCTTGTAAATCTCAGCTAGAATAGAATCAGCACCAGGTGCTATGCCACAGGAGAGGAGCCTAATGGCCTTCAAAACCTCTTTTTCAGTTGGAAATTTGACTAGACAGGGACTGAGTTTAACCTGAGGTAAACAGCCAATGGCTTCAGCATTGATTGATGGTGGTCTGTTGAGAACACCCATCCCTCCAGGATCATACCCTTATCACTAATCAACGTAGCTCTGTCAGCACTGAGTAGTTGAGGTGTACCATATGTCTTTAGCCCATAAATAGGGCGTCATAGAAGTGCTTCAGATTGTTGCTATCAGTGTAAAACTGAATTTCATCTGCCTTCTTACTGAGCCAAGAATCCTGCATCTTTCTCAGCTTCGCTTGTATTTTACTTTTGATGGAGTTAAATGCTGCCTTCTTAGAGATGAACTATCCTGCTGATAAACCCTGTAGAGTTCTCATTTTTCATTTAGCAGCTTCTGAATTTCACCATCATTTTCGTCAAACCAGTTTTGATGTTTGCCAGTGTTCTGGCCTAGATGAGTAAATGCAGTGCTGTACACCAAATCTCTGATAGCTACCCACTCCTTTTCTGCTCCACTCGTTGCTAACTGTGTGTTGGCTCAACTTTCTCCCCAAGTTAGCAATGAACTGTTCTTGCTCAGAGAAGCGCTCAAATCTGTTGACGTTAAGTCTTCTGGTAGTCTCATCTTGCCTTGGGGCCACCACTTTTGTTGAATGCGAATATTTGCGTGAGGAGGATAAGTCTATGATCAGTCCAGCACACTGCACCACACCATTGCCTTGGTTACTCTCACATCCTGTCTGTCTCTTGTCCTTATAATGACAGTCTATTTTAATAGATACATAGATTTTTCTATGTTTTCATAGTAAACATCCACAAAGTTTTATTGCATTTAGGTAAACAGTAGACAGTGTTGGTGATGTTCTCATGAGATACACAAATCTTCAGTAGTAAGTGACCATTGCTGTTACTGTTTCCAGCTCCATTCCTCTCAAGGACTCCCTGCCACGTCTGGTAGTCTGAGCTTGCTCTAGCATTAAAGTCACCCAGAATTATAAGCTGGTCCTCTTTTGGCACATTGGTGATGAGGGTTTCCAGGTCTTCATAAAATTTTTCTTTGACTTCATCAGGGTTCGTCATGGTGGGAGCATAGGCACTGATGTTGGTGGTGTGGTGTTTTCCTGCACGTGGCAATTGCATTGTCATGATCCTGTCGTTTACTCCTTTTGGGAGGCATATGAGCTTGCTGACTAGATTAGTTTTGGTTGCAAAACCTACACCAGCTTTACAGCTCTCCCCTTCACTGTGGCCGCTCCAGAAAAATGTGTATTCAGCTTTGACTTCAGTAAGCTGGCCTTCGTTTGCCAGCCTTATTTCACTCAGGGCTGCTATTTGGATGTGATACCTGCTGAGTTCTCTCGCAACGAGAGCTGTTCGTCTTTCAGGTCTACTGGATTTTGTGGCATCTATAAGTGTGTACACATTCCGTGTACCAATGGTGAGGGAATCAGCTTTGAGGAAGTTTTTGTCCATTTTTTTGTGTTTCAACTACAGGGTAGGATCCCCGCCGGTTATGGTAAATAGGCCAGGGTTGGGCAAGCAGACAATATGTAGGGCACCTTCTCTAGCCCCTTCTTCACACCAGGAGGTGAGCAGTGCAGTTCTTAAAAGGCTGCTCAGAGGGGCAGCTAGGTGGTACAGTAGATAGAGCCCAGTCAGCAGGACCTGAGTTCAAATCCGGCCTCAGACCAGACACTTGACACTAGCTGTGTGACCCTGGGCAAGTCACTTAACCCCAATTGCCTTTAAAAAAAAAAAGGAAAGAAAAAAGTCTGCTCAGACACCCAAGGGGTTGCTGAATCCCACTGCTGCTTCCAGTAAGAAGACAACCCTGTGGACTAGGCTGCCAGTGTGTAAGGATATGCCTGCAGCTCCCAGTGTATTCACACCTGCTACTTTGTCACTTGCCTGTCACCACAGGACTTGGAGATAGGTAAAAATGGTAAAATGGTAGGGGTGATGTCTTTTGATTCATGCATAGATTGGGTTTAAGTGAGGCAGAATCACACGAAGTCGTCAGCCTCACTCTCTCTTCCAGAGTCCTGCCACAGTCTAGTGGCGGGACAGAGTCAAGACGACTGGTGATGGCTGGAGATGCAGTGGATGGCCTTGGCATCTTCAATGTCTAACCAAGCTCTGAGTACTCCACAGCATCTGTTTCAGCCGCCTTCATGGCCATTGGAACAAATTGTTTTCGTCTACCCATTCCACCAGGGAAGTCTTTGCTTGCTTGGGGTAAACACCTCCCCAACTCACCGACAGGGGTTTGAGACCCCTTGGTTACACTCCAATCTAGTTTAGCCCATCTGCCAAAATGGTTTACTGGGATGTGGCCGTTGTACATGCTAAAGCTTCTTGGAGCCACAGGTGAGAGTTGGGTGGATCAGGTAGACCCCAGAGGTGGGAAGCAGCCCTTACACCAGAGGTCCTAGTGTTCCCTGAACATACCCTACACCCCAGTCAGTATAGGCTTCATGTAAAAAGTGATGCTCAAGCTGTGTTGAAAGAAGGGAGGAATTCTGTGGGGCAGTGATGGAGAGGGAAGGTGTGGAGGACAGCCAGTGCAAAGGCATGGAGATGGGAGATAGAATAGAGAAAAGGCCAATTTGGCAAGACCACAGAGTAGGGGAAGGGGAGCAATGTGGAATGAATAAGCAGTAACTAAGACGTGTTGTGAAAGATGAAAATCTGGACTTCAAAAAAGTCAGCACTTAACACTTCTAGTTTTCCAGAAGGAAAGCCTTGTGGCTTATAACTATTATGAGAAAGTACTTAAAACTATTTTGGGCTTAAAATGGTTTTTAAGATTCTTTTTACATAAAAGCAATGTAGTCAGTTACCATTCTGTCATTTCCGTTACTTAGTAATTGAAATAATTCAGTTGCTAGTTTAGGAGAATTGTTCTTGTTCAAATATTCTCCCTTCTGCTCATTAATGTGGTCAACAGCCACATTCATTGGCTTCTTTGCCAGACAGTTGTGTAGCGCGTTCTATATAGCAAGGGTTTTTGTGATCCTTGTATGTGGGCATATAGAAATGGCATTCATACGTTGCTGCCATATTCTACTGACTTTTTTCCATCTAGAGCAGTGGTTCTTTTTTTTTTTTTAGTGTAAAAATTTTCATAGTTTATTTTTAAAATTACATGCAAAAACAGTTTTTAACTTTTGTTTTTTAAAATTTTGAGTTGTAAATTCTTTCCCTCCCTCCCCTTCCCCTCCCTGAGACAGCAGGCAACTAGATATAGATTATACATGTGTAGTCATGCAAAACATATTTCCATATTAGCCATATTATGAAAGAAAACACAAAAAAACCCAAGAAAGATAAAGAAAGTTTTAAAGAGTATGCTTCGATCTGCATTCAGACTCCATCAGTTCTTTCTCTGGAGCCAGATAATAATTTCCATCTTTGGAATCGTCTTGGATCATTGTAGTGCTGAGGAGAACTAAGTCATTCAGAGTTGATCATCATATAATATTGCTGTACAATGTTCTCCTGGTTCTGTTCATTTCACTTGGCATCAGTTCATGTCTTTCCAGGTTTTTCTGAGAGCATCCTGCTCATCATTTCTTATAGCACAATAGTATTCCATCACAATCATATATCACAACTTGTTCAGCCATTCCCCAGTTGATGGGCTTCCTCTCAATTTTCAATTCTTTGCCGCCACAAAAAGAATTGCTATATTTTTTTTAGGCAGTTGGGGTTAAATGACTTGCCCAGGCTCACACAGCTAGTAGGTGACAAGTGTTTGGTCTGAGGCTGGATTTGAACTCAGGTCCTCCTGACTTCAGGGCCGGTGCTCTATCCACTGTGCTATAAATATTCTTGTATGAATAGATCCTTTTTCTTTTTCTTTGATCTCTTTGGGATATAGACCTGGTAGTGGTAATGTAGAGCAGTAGTTCTTAACCTTAATCAGAGGGCTGGATGGGCCCCTTTGGCAGCAGTCTGGTGAAGCCAATGAGTCCCTTCTCAGGATAATGTTTTTTAATAATGGAAGGAAATTCTAAATTTCAGTTAGAGGTTAGTGAAAATAAAGGTTCAGTTTTTTTCCTATCAGATTCACAGACCGCTTGAAATCTATCCACAGACCAGGTTGCCAGATCCCACAAGCTAAAGCATCTCTAAGGATCTATATAGGGTGGGGGTGGGGAACCTTTGGCCTCAAGGCCACATGTGGCCTCTAGGTCCTGAAGTGCAGCCCTTTGCCTGAATCTAAACTTCACAGAACAAATCCCCTTAATTAAAGGATTTGTTCTGTAAAACTTGGACTCAGTCAAAAGGCCACACCCAAGGACCTAGAAGGCCACATGTGTGGCCTGGAGGCTGCAGGTTCCCCACCCCTTACTAGGGATAAGTGTGATACCATTTTCCACCAGAAAAAAAAAAAAAAACCAACCCTGTATATGAGAGATTCCTTGAAGGTCACTATGTTTAACATCACTTATGTTGTGAAGGTAGAGAAAAAATTTTTTAGCTGACACAGAGAAACCTATCAGGCTGCTAATTAGAGTAGTACATAGAACGCTGGATTTTTTTTTATTTAGGAAGACCTAGGTTCAAATCCTACCTCAGACACTTAGTAGCTTTGTGACCGTGGGTTAAGTCACTAAATTTATCTTAGCCTCCATTTTCTCATCTGTAAAATGGAGATAATCCCAGCACCTACTTCACCAGATTGTTGCTGAGTTGGATTGAGATAAGCGATGAACATGTATAAACTATATCGGATTGCTTACCATCTCAGGGAAGGGGAAGGGATGGAGGGAGGGATAGGATTTGGAACTTCAAAACTTAAAAAAAAATGTTATCCATTACTGTACATGTATAGCCTATATCAGACTGCCATCTTGGGGAGGGGGGGAGGGACAAAAATTTGGAACTCAAAATCTAACAAAAATGAATTTTGAAAACTATCTTTACATGTAATTGGGAAAAAATAAAATACTATTAAGTAAAAAAAATTTAAAAATTCTTTTAACATGTAATTGGGGAAAAATAAAATATATAATTTAAAAAAGAGATAAGTGATGAACTTTGCAAAATGCAAAGCACTATCTAAATGTTAGTTCTTGGTTGTTAAAGTTAATAATCAGATTTTTTCAGGCAAGTTCATGGCTTCATCCACAATCATTTTGATTTTCTTTGTGATTTGAGTATTTGTTCTTGTTCACAGATGTTAATATATTTTTGAAGGCATCCTGATAAAAAGAGGGTCTTCTATAACTTGTAGGCATATGCTACTTCAGAATTCTGGCAATATATTGTCTTTTTTACATGGTAGAAAACCAATGTCCAGACTAATCCATCCTCTTTTGTAGGAAAAGTTAGCACCAGTTTTGAGGTCAACACAATTGGGGTCCCGTTGGATGAATTCTTCAGATGCCGTAGCGTCATGACAGTAACAGAAGGAAATGTCACCCACAACTATTGGGATATCCTTGTACAAGCTTTTATCCAGAACAACACAGTCAGCACCAAAGGTAATGTGCCAAAAGCACACCATAGGATGCTTTGAAACTTAAGACTTTTGTTGGATTTATTATTTGAAAGCATTTCTTAAGGCCTCTTATCCTAGAGATAGGCTAAGAGCATAGTAGCATAGTAGATGGAGAGCTGGCTTCATGTCCCACTTCTGACAAGCACGGCCTGGGTGACTGTGGGTGAGCCAGTCAATCACTCAGTGCTCCAAGCAGCTTTCTGTCACTAGAAGTTGGAGAAGAGGGCACTGCCCTGCTTTGGTAGAGGGAGTTTCCTCACCCGGGAATTCTGTATTCCCAGTCCTTAGCCTTATCCTGTTATCTTCAATGCTTAAAGTTTATATTGGTAATCGTTACCGTGATGCTTGTGACCCTACAAACTCATGGAGTCTAGTTTGTGATGGGCTCAATAAAAACTTAATTACTTCTAGATAATGTTTTAGCTGAGGGCTCCGACAGATGCTGCAGTGGTACTGCTGACCCTTCAGCACATTCCAAGTCTTCTTTGATCTTGACTTTCTAAATTCCCGTATCTGGTTTTTTGTTTGTTTTGTTTTATTTTGTTTTTTTGGAGGCAATCGTGGTTAAGTGACTTGCTCAGGGTCACACAGCTAGTAAGTGTCTGAGGCTGGATTTGAACTCAGGTCCTCCTGACTCTGGGGATAGTGCTCTATCCACTGTACCACCTAGCTGCCCCCTAGTATCTGTTTTTGTCATTGACTTGGTAGTTCATGAAATTTCCTAGCCATATAATTGCTCATTTACTTGTTGTGGATAACTAACTCCCAGATTTAAATTCTGGCCCTGCCACTTGATACTTTGTATGAGCTTGGGCAAGTCCCTTTTCCTTCCTGGGCCTCAGTTTCCTCCTTTGTAAAATTAGATGATCTTTGAGGTCCCTTCCAGCTCTAGATCTTGAATAATATGTGTGACCTTGGACAAGTCACTTCACTCCTCCCTGGGCCTCATTTTTCCTCATCTGTAAAATGATGTGGTTGATGACCTCTGTTCTATATCTACTATCCTAGAAGTCACTTGGTCTCCTTTGGGAAGAAACCTTCTCTTTTTTCGTAGCCTTCAACGTCAAGAAAACAGCAAGGTGAAGTCATCTTTTTTTTCCCCTTCAGAGTTCACGTGTGATGAAGATGAGTCAATTGTATCAACAACCACCCTTACTACGGTGCCTGTTCCTACTTCAAAACCCATCCCTAAAGAAAGACCCCACCCTGGTACCTATTCTGTTAAAAATGGGAGTGCTATTTGTCTCTTGGCTACTATGGGGCTGCAGCTGAACATCACCAAAGATAAGGTACAATTGTCTCCTCTTGTTGTCCCCAACCTCTCTCCTTTTTATTTTTAATTAAATTATTTTGATTTATCAACCATCACTTCCATAAGCTTTTGAGTTTAAAATTTTTCTCCCCCTCCCTCCCCACCAACCTCCCCAAGATGGCGCACAATCTGATATGGGCTATACATATACATTCCTATTAAACATTTTCACATTAGTGATGTTGTAAGGAAGAATTAGAACCAATAGAAGGAACCACCAGAAGGAGGAAACAAAACAGAAGAAAAAAAAATAGCAAATAGTATGCTTTGATCTGCATTCAAACTCCATAGTTCTTTCTTTGGATGTGGATGACATTTTCCATCACGAGGCCTTTGGAGATGTCTTAGATCCTTGTATTGCTGGTCTCTCCTTCTTAATGGGTCATTTTACCTTCAACTGCTGACAAATTGGCCCTGGAATCATGTGGACTTCAAAGGGCTTCCTGGCATTTGTCTTTTAGCTTTTATTTGGATCAATTCCCATTTGCCATGAAGAAGAGTTAATGTAACTTGCAAAATATAATGCCCAACATGCCTTCATCTCTCAAGTAGTAGCAATCCTTCTTACTCTTAAAAATGGCTTAGTTGCTGCGATTCTGCATCACCAACCCAGAGTATAAATAGTTGGTCCTTATTTCCAGGCAGCTAATGTCTAATCATAGGTTTTCATCCAGAGCATTGATCTCTAGATTAGCAGGGGTTGAAATATAGAATAACAGGCATAGATTGGCGAACTCTGCTCCAATGCATCATTGTCCAGTGCTGCAGGACTACTAGCTAATGAATCTTCTTCGCAGAGCTCTGTGTGGGAAGAAAGCAAGCCAGATGTATGGAGCTCTTGTATTCCAGAAAAAAAGGGCATACTTCCTTAGCTTTTTAATTGAAAAGGCTTCTTTTTTTTTTTTTTTAAACTGGGGAACACTTCCTTCCTTTGCTATGATGTAAAAGTAGATTTCTGAATTGTGGCTCACAGGCCCAGAACAGCCTAAAAAAAATCTAGATTTAATTAGAACACAGGTTCTAATCCATTTGTTTTGTCCTGGAGTCTTTGGGCAGTCTGGTGAGGCCTGTGAACCTCTTCTCAGAATAAGGTTTTTCAATGAGTAAAGTAAAATAGATAGGATTACAAAAGAAACCAAATATATTGAAGTAGAATGATCCATTTTTTTTTAAATTGGCAGAATCCAGGCAAATGTTATTTTGTTCACCCTCAAAGATCATATAAGGTCTTAGTACCTTCTTCCTTTCTCTAAAGGTTACTTCACTTTTGAACATTAACCCCAATACGACGGATTATGGTGGCAAGTGTCTTAAGGAATCAGCCACGTTTTGGTTGAATGACAGCAACGAGCACCTTGAATTTCTCTTTGCTATAGTAAGTAACAGTTTTGCATTAATTTCCTGGTTCCTAATTGTTCGACAAGCAAGTATTAAGTGCCTGCTGTGTGCTGGGCATTTTATTAGCTGCTGGGGATACAGAGCTAAAACCAAAACAGTTTCTGTCCTCAGGGAGTTTCCATTCTCCTCAGGGGGAAAGAGCATCAATCAGCAAGCTTGTAGTAAGCACTTACTGTATACTAGGTGCTGGGGATACAGAGACAAAACCAAAACAAGTCCCTGCCTTCAAGGAGCTTAGATTCTATCAAAATGTAATTCATTTCTCCTGGCGACTTAGGTTGGGCAAAGTAACAGCTTTCCCTTTCAGTGTTCTGGCTTTGACCTTTATCTGAGAGGCCCCATGCTATATGCTTCAAGGATCTGTGTCTGTCAGTGTGGGTTTTCCCTCCACTGGTGCAGATTGCAACTTAGCAGACCATCTTTTCGAACTGCTGTGGCCAAAGGATTTATCCCCTTGTAACCACTCTGGTCATGAGTTGCTCTGAGCTGGTTGTCCTGGAACAGCAGGCAAATTGCCTCATCCCCGAGTTTATCTAGCTTGGTATAAGGTCCACCACAGCTTGCATTCCACTGGTATAGCTGTCAAGAGCCCATGTCACAATGAGGAGGCATCAGAGGAGAAGGCCTTCGAGGGGACCCTTCTATTCTAGCTCCTCCCCAAAATGTGGCCTGTGGGGGTCTTTTAAGGAATCTGTGAGCTGGTCTCTTGTATGAATGCTTATGGTAGGCTTCATGCTAAAGGTAACCGCCTTGGTAAAGGGGAGGAGCCAGGACCCCCTAAAATACTCCAGATGGGTTTTTTCTAAAAGCCTTTGCTAAGCACATGTGTTTTTAATATTGCTAGCTAGAACCCCATTATGGCTTTCTAGAAATATTTTAGGACTTTCAAAGAACACTCTCACTTTCGATCCTGACATCGATACAGCCCATGATGGCAATTTTCCTCCCTGTGCACTAACTTCACAGGCCACCCGCACAGTTTGGAAGGCCGTAGGCTGGCTACCCTGCTCTTTACTTTTGGTTGGGTGTTAACTGTTTATGCAGGGTATTCTCAGAGTCTTAGTGCCAGTTTAGGTAACTTAGCCTCTCTGTGCCTTGGTGTCCTCATCTGTAAAATGAGGGGGTTGGACTAGATGACCTCCAAGGTCCCTTCCAGCATGGATTCTAGAATTCCCATGAATTTTGGCAGTGTTGTGGCAAGTGGGAATCAGTAGTCTTTGAGAGTCTTGTCCCTTTCCGGAGTGGTCTGTGAATGGAGATTATTTGAGAATCTTCCGTATAGAAGAGCGGTTTTCACATTAGGGGTTATTTTTAAGACCACTATTTCCACTTTTGTAGAGCTAACCTGTCACAGTGCTGGGCTTGGAGTCAGGAAGTGGTGGGTTCTAATCCTGCCTCCAGCACATACCAGCATGACTGTGGACAAGTTCTTTAACCTCGTGCTGACCCAGGCAGCTCTGTAAGACTCAGTGACTGATGATTTGCCAAAGCACACTCAAGGAGTTCCAGAAGATGTCACAGATCCCGACCAACCCCCCTCCTCCACCCCTCAAATTGGTTCTTACTGGAACACATTTGTTGTGTATTTCTCTAATCTGTAGCCTCCCCCCCCCCCCCTAGAATGATGGTCATGTGTAAACTAGTCTGAGGACTCATCATAGACTAACTGTTAAGTTATTAGGAATCATTTGGATAAGAATATACCTTTTCTCCCTTTATTGAAATTTGCCCCCATTATTTGGCCTATCTTTGACTACTTTGACTACTTTGACTACGAAATTGTATTTGAAATTACTCCTTAAGCTTATCATTGGCAGCCCTGACCATATTGACTAATTTAAGTTATATAGGCTAGCTCTAGATTCATTTTCATGTGTACTATGATATAAAGTAGATTAAATATTTTTTTAAATTTTTTTGTGAGGCAATTGGGGTTAAGGGACTTGCCCAGAGTCATATAGCTAGTGAGTGTTATTTGTCTGAGGTTGGATTTGAACTCAGGTCCTCCTGATTCCAGGGCTGGTGCTTTATCCATTGTGCCACCTAGCTTGCCCAGTTTTGCTTTTTTTTTTTAAACACGCATAGAACTATGCTGTGATGGGCCAGATGTAAAAGGTATATTCTTTGGGTCTGGTAACAGGACAGTGTTAGGGCTTTATTGTGAAGATTTTTTTTTTTTAGTGAATTTTTGTTTGATTTGTCCAATGTTACCATATGTTTAAAGTATGTATGTATGTATGTATGGCTTCTTATACCAATCAAAACTGACTGTCCTAGGAAAACGAAGTTAATAACATTTTGGTATAAAAAAGTTAAAAAAATACTCCCAAGTAGTTTGATGCTTAAATCTAACTATTAAATAAAGCCCTTTGAATAATGAAATAAGATTTTAAAAAACCCACTGTTATATCAGCACCATAAGACCTAATTGTGGTCCATACCACCTTCAGGCTTGACTCATTTAGCTCCATAGAGGAAAGAATGCCATCTGTTGTTGTTGCTGGGTTTTTGAATCCTATTTATTTACCCCATAATGCTAAGATAGAGGAACCCTAGGTGGCTAAGGGCCATGTCATCAAAACTGTGTCGAGGAAGGAGAAGGAAAACATTGATGAAGAGCCTTTGGTATTTCTTTTGAGGTCTCCTAGGAGAGATAGTGAGCCAAAAAGACCCAGGTTCAAGTCTTACGTCTGATATACACTGGTGTGTGACCCTGGGCAAGTCACCTAACCTCTCTCAATGCCCTAGATGACTATGGAAGACTAGAAATTGCATAGAAGGTTCCATCCTACACTGGCAGAAAGTGTTTCTTCAGCTGGAAGTTTCTCAGGCCAATGAAATCCTGGGCCCAGGCCCTGTCCCTATATCCAGTTGCTCCCATGGATTCAGGATCTCATGTTGAGTGGGGGGGTGGGGTGCCTCCCTCAATTGCTGTAGTTGCCCACCTCATCACACATTTCCACCCATGTCCAGTTTCTGTTTTTCTTCAACGATATTGATCTGTGCCTGGCTTTCATCTGCTCCGTTATCTTGGGCTTTGGCCTGCCTTTTTCCCTCTGGATGTTTAATGTTCTCTGTAGACAGTTGTGAGATGATCTTATGTGTTGTTTAACTGAAAGCTTTCTTCAAACAGAAAAATGGCAACCGGTTCTATCTGAAAGGGGTGAATGTCAGCTTGACTTTTGTAAACAGTTCTGGTAAGCCAAGTCGGGTCCTCTCGACCTGAGGAGGGGAGGGAGGGGACAGGGGGAGAGGATAACCAAGGGTTACTAGAAACCTGGCACTTGACCTTGGATTAGCTATATTTAGCAAATACTTAACTATTTCGAGTTCCTCTGATGTTCTCCTTGAGACCAAATACTAGCTTATAGTTAGAAATGAAGTCACATCTAAAATTTGGAATCTTGCTTAATTAAAGTTTATGGATGGAACTCTAAGATAGGCAGAGCATTAAGTCCTTTCAAAGTAGGGAAGTGGAAGAGGAAAGGGAATAAGCATTTCTATGATACCTACTATGTGCCAGGCATTGTGCTAAGCACTTTTTATAAATATTATTTCATAGTATGGCTCAAAAGGATCAGACGTATTTGGACTGTAGAGAAGGCTAAAGGCTAAGAGTGGTGGAGAGACAAGGGCATCAGACTTCGAGTCAGAGAACCTGCCTTAGGCAAGGCACTTCACTTTTCTGGGTCTCAGTTTCCCCTTCAGTAAAATGAGGGGATTGAACTAGAAAGTCCCTGAGATTCTTTCTACCCCTAGCTCTGTGATCCCATGTCTGATCTTGGGCAAATCCCTTCCCTTTCCTGGGCCTCAATTTCCTCCTCTGTAAAATGAGAGGGTTGGATAAGATGACCTATGAGGCTCTGTGTTCCATCTCTAGCTCTCTTGTGTTATGTGCCCTTGAGCAAGTCCCTTCCCCTCTCTGGGCCTCAGTTTCCTTCTTTGTAAAGTGAGGGGGTTAGACTAGATGGTCTCTGTGGTCCCTTTTAGCTCTAGAACTAGGATTCTATGTGTGACCTTGGGCAAGTCCCTTCTCTCAGTTTCCTCCTCTGTAAAATTAAGGGGTCGTAAAAAATGGCCTTTAAGGCCCCCTTCCAGCTCCAAGTCTATGATTCTAAGATTCTAAGGAGAATATTAAAGACATTCAGTAAGCCCATTAGCCATTACAAATAGTAAATTATGAAAAGCAATTCTATGTGTCCCAAGCTAGCACATTTAACTGAGAATCTTAAGACCTTCCATAAGCTCGAAGTTGATATTTAAAGAAATAACTGATCTTTATCTTTCTTTAAAGATTTCGTTGCTGCGAATAACAACCTTAACTGTTGGGATGCCCCAATAGGAAGTTCTTACATGTGCAACAAAGAGGATACTATTGCAGTTTCTGACACATTTCAAATAAATACTTTTGATCTAAGGGTGCAGCCTTTCAATGTGGTGGAAGGAAAGTATTCTACAGGTAAGAATAAACCAGATTTTCTTAAAACTTTCTTCTGTGGACACATAATCACAGAAGTCATGAACCCGACAGTCCAATAGAGAAAGTACACATTTTTCTGGGCGTCAGGCATAAGCCATACTGCAGATGAGACTGAAATTTGCACTCACTTTGCTCAGACTAAGTTGATCAAACCGGTAGAATTCAAGAAGAGCCAAACATGAAGAAGAAAATGTATGGAAAAAATGAGAGCAGCTTTAGTGAACTTAGTCGATGGGCTAGACCACAGGTCAGCAAACTACACAGGTCTGTTTTTGTATGGCTTGTGAGCTAAGGATGATTTTTACATTTTAAAATTAAGTTTTATTCTATTTAAAAATGTAAGAACTAATCAGGCAACAGGCCCGATTTGGCCTATTGGTTTGGTGACCCCTGGGCTAGACCTCCCCCTGCCCTTTTTGAGGACAAGTTTTAGTAAGTGATAGGAACTTGATAACTAAGGTCAGCAGACAGGAATCGTTTAAATCCCCCTTGGTTTTATTTTTCAAACCACCAGTTAAATGGAGGTCTTTGAAAAATATGGTAAATTTGGATTATCTTGACCAGCTCGACAAAGCACAGGATTTGTGTCCAGGTGGGCTTTGGGGAGTATCCTCAGTGGTAAACAGCACAGTCTTACATACACTGATCCCAAAAGCAATGCCAATTTTTTAGATGTGTTAGAAAAAAAAAAAGTAACATTAACGGCATTGCAGGATTATTCACTAATTCTAAGTCATGCACATGTTTCTTTCACTAAAATGCCCTTTCTCTCTATCTAATTTTGTTTTGCAACTAGGGATAAATAGACCATATCAGTTATCCCCATCTTCTTCTGCATACAGAATTCTCACAGTTAAATATAACCCATAAGCCTTAGAGTATACTGTAAATAAAACTAGCCGTGCTCTTATGAAACATTGCAGTGATTTTGCAATAGGGTTGAATTTCGAATTTGATTTCGTTCTGTGAAAATTAAGCTTTTCACATCATTGCAACCCAAATGTTTACTTCTGAAATTAATTTTTCCCCCCTGTCAATCCTTCAATGATTTGGATTCTTTGAGAACTTTATTTTGGGTATCTTTTTCTGACCTCGTGTGTTATTAACCTTGCTTTGGTCTCAGATTTCCATTGAGGGTTTAAGAGTCTATTCAAATGTGTTTATAACTCAGTTATTTGTAATAGAAATGAGCTATGTTTTCTTCTCATTTGGAACTCTGGCCTCACATGTACAAAGGTTTAAGAATACCCATCCAGAACATAAAACCTGGTAAACTTTGGTAACATGATACATTAATCCATTCATGAAAATAGACTCTTGTCCACAGGTGCCTAAAATCACACCAGCTATGCTTGGCTAAGTAGGGCAAGATGGAAGAATTGGGGTGGAAAGCAGGGAACATGGATTGGTCACAGAAAAAGGAGCATTGTGGTATATGGTAGAACAGAGTCCTAGATTTGGAGGCAAAAGACCTGAGTGTGAATCTCGGCTCTGTTCCTTACTGCTTGTGTCTCTTCCCTTGAGCCTCAGCTTCCTCCTCTACAAAATGAGGCAGCTGGACTAGCTACCCTCCGAGGTCCCTTCCCCCTATATTTTTGTGATCCTATGTTGTGACATTGGGCAAGTCACTTCTTTTCTATGGGCCTCAGTTTCCTCACCTGTCATATGAGAGGACTGAACTACATGGCTCCTTAAGTCCCATCCAGCTCTTGATCCAGGAGCCTCTGGAGCCAGAGTGATTTAGAACTTTTATCTGTGACTTTGGGAGTGGGGAGAAACGGCCCATCTTTTTGACTCTTGGGTATTTGTGATCTGTCCCTCAGTTGTTTGTTTCTGTGGGGAGGATGAGACCTGGCAGCCTAAGCTGCTTTGGTCCAACATTTCTGGTAATTTCCAGCCCCAATTCCAAGTAAGCAGCTGAGGCATGTGGTTCCTGTCTGTGAGTTAGTAGGGAGTACCACTTTCTTCACCTCTTCTGGAGTTCCCAAGTCACCCAACCCCAAGGAAAACCGACTCCACCTGGTAGACATTCACCCTCCCATCAAGCTTCCATCCTGGAACCGTGGTCTCCATACACTTCCTATAAAGCACCAGCTTTTTAGGGAGGAGCAGACAGCCTTGAGGGGTGGCTCTTGGGCCCATGTTTGCCAACTCCTTGCTTGGGGTCATCTCCAATTCTCTGGGGCTTTGATCTGGCTCCAAAAGCTGGTTGCTTAAAACAACTTGCCTTTTGAAAACTAAGCCAAAAACAATATTTTTTAAGCTCAGTATAAGCAGTTACAGACAAATCAAGGATTTTGCTTGTATTTACTGTTTGTCACACACTTTTTCTATCTACAGCCCAGGAGTGCTCACTGGACGATGACAGCATTCTAATACCAGTTATAGTTGGTGCCGGGCTTGCAGGCTTGATTCTCATTATAGTGGTTGCTTACATAATTGGCAGAAGAAAAAGCTATGCTGGATATCAGACCTTGTAAACCAAATCACTGTTTACAGTATGATGAAGCAAGTGCAAGTTCCAAAATTAAACATCATTCGATTAAAATACCCTTAGCCGTGACCCAGAACCTAGGGGGTGTGGGAATTGAAACAGAAACAACAACAACAAACGAAACAACAATAATAAAAAAAAAAAGCAAATGCATGGTCATGTGGCTTTACTTTCCCAACTAAGAAGTAAACTCATTGGGTCTCCATTCTTCAACGAAAAAAAAAAAGAGTGAGAGAGAGAGAGAAAAAAAGACATTCATAACCAAATGGATTAAAGATCCCATTTTTGTGCTCTTGTTACTATTTCAGCCTTTGAGCTATATACTCCTATGGCTAGAGATAAGGAAAATGTTTAATAATAAAAGGAATTACCTGCATATAGCAAGCTGGGGCATTTTTCCCCCTCTCCCCTTCCTCTCTCTACTGAAATTTGTACTTGCTTCTTCTGTGTTTTTATGATGATCTGTTTGGAAGACAAACTTAGTGCAACCTTTGCTAATTCTGTACATCTCGATCTTGGAAATACTCACGAATGGATGTGGCCAGTGCCGAGCAATATCTCACTCTTAGGACTGAATGTTCCCTTTAAAGCATTTTGAATGTGTTTGTTTAAAGTAGCTGTAAAACCCAGAGTTACAGAAAGATTTCATTTTCTCTTCTTCCCACTTCCCCTCCCTCCCCTCTCACTTCTCCCTTTATTAGTGTGGCTTCTCTTTGGTTGTAAACAAACTACTGGATAGTGTTGAAAACACAGAATCTCAACAGTTCTTTCAATCTTGTTTCTAAGTCCTTTAGCTCACAGGCTATTTGTCATGTGCTCATTAGTATACTCTCTGTAGGCTGACTTCTTGTATCTGCAATCGTAAAACTAACAGAAGTTTCTTTTTGGCTGTTATAGCATCCTTGCTGGTATTGGGTTGAAAAAGGAAATTCTAAGTTGATTAATTAGCTTGACATCTACATGATGACATGCACTTACCTTTTATCTGTGCATATAGTGTCCTGTGCAGGGCCTGAATGTCACTGTCTTCTTGGAGCAATGGCCATCCCAAAAGATGCTCTCATCTCTGTTTCTGAGCCAGCACGACCTTTTTTTTTTTTTTTAACTACTCCCCCTTTCCTCCCATTGAAATGAGTCTGTGCTAATTAGAACTTGCATTGTGGTTGTTTCTGATGGCAGGGTCCGTTGGTCTATTTTGTGCTCCTTTGTGTGCCTTGTGGTGAGATGCGCCCATTATCCATTCGTGGGCAGCACCTAATGTTTATGAAGAATGATTTGGGTGGAGCAAATGCTTTGGGGTAGAGCAAAACATCGGGGCTTAGTGGGTGGCAGAGAGCACACAAGTTGGTGGCCAAAATAGAGCATCCTTTTTCCTTGTCTTGTTTTGTTTTCGAAGAGAGAGGGAGACATTCTGATGATGTTGCTAAACTACTATTATAATGAAGATTTTTATTTTTATTTTTTGCAATCCAGTCATCGTAAATGATCTGGGTGGGTATTTAAATGCCACAAATCCTGACTGCACTATATATACACAGGGTGACCCAAAAGTCTGTGTGGTTTTAAGTAGCTGAAAACAGCACAGACTTTTGGGACATTCTATCTATGGAGAGGGAGTGGGGAGAGATTGAGAGATTTGAAGATTGAGAAACAGATTGAGAGAGGAGGATTGGGAGAGAGAGAGAGTGAAAAAGAATTTGAGATTGAGAGATTTCCCCAGACACCTACACAATAGTAACCCATGCGTGCTAGGTCTAGCTCTAACAAGCCTGTTGAAATGATGGCTGTTTTTCACCCATCCTTGGCCTTTTAGTTGGCACTTTCACTCAGCTGGCAGAGAATTGACTTGGTACTTAGTTGAGGGTTGTACAGAGCCGTAGCACCATGGTGTTCAAACACTTCCTAAAGTTGAATTAGATACTTGGTAGCAAAGACTGTAAATTACTACTTTTGTCATTTGTCGAGCGTGAAAAGAAATCTAGAAAGTCTATCGAGAGTTCTTAATCTACAATCGGGTTTTAATATTGGTGACGCAATAAGGAAAGATAATGCACAAAAGTCTTTGGGCCTTCAATTCCAAACTGAAGCTTTTACAGATTGGGAAGCACAGGAGGGAGACATGGCACTCGACCCAGTTGAACCAAGATTTAGATCTCCAGATTATATACCTGCCTTGTATTTTAAAAATACCTCTAATTACCACTGTTTTGTAGAAGGGTTGACTTGCAATTTCATTGACTCTCTTCTTTTATGTGGATTGGTTTATATATAGTTGTTCAGCTGTTAATTTGTGTAGCTGTGTGTCCTTTGCACCTTGTGTGTAACTCATTCACACCACAAGGTTGAACTGAATGTCAGATTTGAAGATAGTAAATACCTTCATAGTAACTTACCTGTAGTTAAAAGAGAGTTTACAAGAGGAAAAACTAGTCTATGTAAATATTTTTCTCATGTGTTTCTGCTTAAAATTATTTGAACCACTGTC